TCCTGTACTAAGAAAACTAAATACATCTACATCTAAAAATATAATACATCTGCGCACATCCAAAAGAAACCATTTTTTGGGACTCCAACATGCTCCAACCATCATCCAACTGTCATTTGCAGCGCCTTGCCACTGCTGACGGTTTTGTGCTCACTGTGCACTGCGCCATCTGAAAACCTTAAAAGCAACTGTGACGTGGAGCCAAACCCATGGTCTGTCCAAGACTCCAAGACTCACTGCGGATTGCTGAAAGTTGAACTTTCGAAAACTCAGTCCCATGCTTGTGTCTCCAAGTATCCTGTCCACTGGCAGGGGGGGTCGGTCTCTTAGGACTGTACCGCACCACTGATGTTCCGGGAGAAACTGGAAAGGTCAAAGTCCATGGCCCACAGAAGCAAAAATTGAATTACGATGACGATTTTGGGGGATACACCAGTGATACACCATGAAATGTTCAAAGTATCCACTTTGACCCATACCCCACCTTAGCATCAAAAAGAGCATCAAAAGTAGCATCCAAGGCCTACATGGGCCTGGGTTGCGCCCATAGTTGGTGATAAAAACGGTCTAGAGATGTCTAGAGTCAAATCAAACTACAAGCACTAGGTACGTATTAACCCATTCACACACACATATTTATATGTATATATGTATATATGTATATATGTATATATGTATATATGTATATATGTATATATGTATATATTTATATGTACAGTAATATATATTTACATATTTATATATTTAAATGTATATATATATGTATATATGTGTATATGTATATATGTATATATGTATATATGTATATATGTATATATGTATATATGTATATATGTATATATTTATATATGTATATTTTTCATATATGTATATATTTATGTACATATGTACATATGTGTATATATGTATATATTATTCTAGCAAACAAACAATGTACAGAATTCTCTGGCGGTAATATCTGGCTGGAAGGGTCCCATGGGTATGAGATATAAAACACATGATATATAATGTTATATATATATATATTACTAGAATATACTATATATAATATATATATATATAGTATATATTATAATATACATACTCATATATATATATGTATATTATACATTTACATCTCATAAAAAAAAAAGAGATTTCCACCATATTTCACCAAATTATTATACATTATTCTTGTACGTATAATATGCATTCACCTACCCTTCACCATTCGGCTCACCCATGCCTTGTCACCAAGACATAGGGGCTTGGGTACAGCACTTGGCCTCATGACTGTGCCAACCCTGGTGGAACATATTCCGATGTCTTGGGGAAATGTGGCAATGGAAAATCCCTTAGAAATGTCTGAATCATAATCCGAACATCAGACCTATAGATGATGGTCTTTTCGATTGCCACGTTTGATTGCCTATCCACGTTAATTAATGTTAATTATATGTCTTGCTAGTTGAGAAAAGGAGGGGCAACCCTCTACTCATCAACTAACCAGTGGGAAAAGGCATGTATACTTAGAACGGGCAGCTGTACTGCCTGACATTTTTTGTTCCTGGTGTTGGTTCCAAACCTCGAAACCTGCTGGCGTATCCCAAACAAGGGAAAGTTCTTGACATACCAAGTAGAACAAGACTCTCGTGTCCTCGGCCTTCAATCATCAATATTTAGCCCCCATGGGGCCCCCACATAAGTCTCTTGGGTTCAGCTTTCAAAGTTCTCAGCCCAGCAAGACATTGCTGTGGATGAATTAACATGAATTAGCAATCACATCACAATCCCAAGCCTTATCCAAGGCGATAAAGATATATATAAAGATGAGGGTTGACCCTCGTTATCAACTTGTTATAAACCATAAACTTTGCTTGGCTCGGTCCGCCCGGGATCCGCACCTGTGACCCATCTGGGGCTCCAGGGCTCATTGTCCAACTGCATGAGGCATTCAACCTCCAAAGTGGGTGGGTGATTCTTGTGAGTCAACTTTCGGAAAAACATGGACATGTTTTGAATTATTCTTGTGATCAAAAACTAGTCAGAAGACATTGATCGTCACGGTCAAGGCCACATTTATGTCCGTCATTTCAGCTTTGCAAATCAAAGGCGGAAGCCATTGATGGCCATTTGCGGCCGGAAAATCAGAATCCAAAGTATTCCAAAGCCTCTTTGTTCTCAGCTTCCATGTTGAGTTCGTTTCCGAAAGGGCACTACCTTGCTTCACTATCCACAGGTGGTTCTTGAATTTCCGAACACTTACCTTGAAGATTATCGATTACATTCTTTCCATGGCCCACGTCCTGGGTGTCTCAAATTCTTGATGATGATGATGATGACGACGACGACCACCACGATGACGATGACGATGACGATGACGACGGCCATACTGATGTTCACGACAATCCTAGACGATCCGCTGGCAAATTCTTGGGTTTTCCGTGCGTGGCCTGCAAGCCATCTCTCCAGGGCCGCTGTTGGATCACTCGAAACTTTTCGGAATCGGCCGACCTGAGATCAACTTCAATTGGTCAATGTTTTACAGAGTGGTGCCCCCCTAGTTAGCAAACTTTGTCTATAACTAGGCCAACCAAGGTTTGTCGTGGATGCCTATATATATATATATGTATATCATCGCTACTAGTAGGTCTGGCTCATGACTGTGGTCCTTTGATTAATACGCGTCGAAAGGTTTTTTTTTGAATCAGTCAGTACCAAAAACCATCAAAACGCCTTAGCACGCCTTTGCAAAAGAAGATCAATCATACGCCGTTGATTCAGGTTGACCCAACACATACTCAATTGAACGAATAATGTACGAAAGTCTCTCTCGCATTGGAATCTCTCTGAGTTGTTTGGCTAAATTATCTGAGCCTTCTATCAATCGATCAGGCACTGTTGTACATGGGTAACGGATGGTAACGGATAAAACCGACCACCTCTGACGGTGCAAAATACCACAACTTGTTGGAAAGCGAACTGTCGTCATAGCGCCGAGACGGTTATACCTGAAAATGGTATAAGTATATACCACCAAAATAGACCAAAATAACCGTTTCAAGAGGAAACAACATAATGATAAACAGTGGAATTTGGCGTACCCTATTTTAAGACAAACCTATCTGACGTATTCTGACGTCATCTTTTCTTGGGATTCACTGCAATGTAACCATTCACTAACTGTTTACGTTCGTTTGCCGACTCCTGTTGGATCATCCAGCAGACGAGGAGCGAAATGACCAAGACTAAAGGCTCGGTCGTAGCATTGCGACCAAGCTGTCCTGGTGAATTCCGTGATGAAAACCATGAGAACATGAAAGAGGGGCCTTGCAGATCTAAGATTCAAAAAAGGCATGGTGTACATGACGTACCCTCTGGTTATGTAACAAAGCACAACATAGCTATGGATAGCTATGGAATGATGATGAATGATGTATGATGATTTACCGAACTTTTAAATTGTGATTTCCATAGCTGCGCTAAATAATAACAACCAAAGGGTTTGTGACTCATAAAGGAACAAGACATTAAAACGTATGAATGAGGGTTTGCAATGGAAAGCAGGTGCAACTAAGAAAACGGGTGCAAATGGATGGTATGATCAACAACCTGTACAGGAGCTTCTTGAATGGAGACATATCATTTCCGCTGACTCCTCGGTCACTCTTTTTCAACATTGTGGAAGGACTACCCTTCTGCTTTTCAAGGCTATATGTCATGTAATACCAGTAGCTGAGGTAGAATCTCGTTAACAAAAAACACGTTAGAAAACTCGAAAAGTGTTGCGGAGTTCCATGCTATGAACAATATGAACAACGCGCATTTGCTCATCAGGTCATTGCTGCCGAGATGCTCTGAAGTTCTGCATCTTCACAGCTCCACAATACCTAAAAAGGGCATCCAGGACACCCTGGACAGTGACTTCCATCTATAAATCGTAGATGTAAACATGACATATATCTGGCTGCATTAATTATATGGTTCCCGGGGAATATATCTTTGGGGATATAATGGGATTTTAAAAAACCAACAATGGGAATGCCATGGGAATATCGCCAACATAATAGCCAGCGTCAATCTGTGCCCATTTGGCCTTCAAATTTGACCGAAATTGTGATATGGCTTTGTCTGAAATCCGGCTCCCAAATAAGAAGTTTAAGAGGGAACATATGGGAACATGATGATAATTGAGCAGTGGATTTTGGGGTAATTATCTCATTCTAAGACAAACTCATGTGTATCTTTTGTTCTCTAGGTTTGTCACCGCTATCCAAAGAGGGATTCAAACAAGTTGGTCGCTCAATTCCTTCTTCCGTGGGGATTGGAACATGGTCTTATTCACTGCGAAGTGGCCTTGCTGAGGTACCATGGTGACTTTATTCAAGTGTTTCTTCCTTCCTTCTTGCTGGCCGTTGTCCCTTGTGAGACTAAGGCATAATTTCTAGATGACCTGAATTGCCGAAGAACATCAACACGTTTGGTCTTCTGAGGCTTGAAAAGCTTGACCCATGCCCATCGTTTTTGTGGTTCATGGTCATCCATCGCATCATGGAAATCCTTATGAAACGATTGGTGACCATCCTCCAATATGGCTATATATGGGTATGTCTGAAAATGGGGTATACCCCCAATTATAGCCATTTAGTAGGGATAATGATCATTAACCATTGGGTGTAGGGGTACACTATTTTCAGACAAACCCATATACAATCCAACTTTTGAGCATGGCATACATCAAACTCAACGCCCGGCGCACCCAGCGTCCGCAAAACGCTCCACAAAGATTTGGGGCCTTGGACAAACGGACAGCATGGGAAAAAACAGAATAAGGTATATAGTCGATTGAACAATGTGGACAGTCAAATGTATCAGAATTTAACTGATTAGTTCAAGATGTTCAAACACCAAGAAATATGTACATGTTCTATTTCGGGATGTCAATCAAATAAATCAACACCAAGTTCAATTTTCTTGAAAGGTTTTGCCCCACATGCATTGTGTTCTGAGGAGCCAGCCATCTAGCCCAATCACCACACCACTTTGGGTGGGCTGCTGATTGCAGACTTGGATCAAATACTCTCAGATGTGGAGAAAAACAGTACTTGGATAGTCTTTGACAAATATGATAGCCGCTAGTTTGATGTGACCCTATTAAGTTTTCCACACAAAATGAACAAAACATTGTGTCAAAATGATATATTACGCAGCCAGATATCATAACCACGCTTTCTTTAGCAACAAAAACAACACATCGCAAGATACGAACCTACAACCCATCAGCAACTGCCCAGCTCATGTCCCCGTCTAGAGTGGCTGGCAGCTTTGAAATTGAAGCCATGAATGGCCCTTTGCTTGAAGAAAACCATGATCAGAAGCTTTCTTCAGGTGGTGTTTCGTGCGAGTTTTCAGGTTGCTTGGCCACTTGGCCCACTTGATTTTCGTTTGGCTTTTGATCATTTCAAGCAATGGATTGACCTAAGGGATCTTGATAAGGAAACCCGGGTTCTTGATCATCAAATACCAGAGAGTATTGATGGTTATATCCCATTATTGGTGATTATAACCATCAATAGTAGTAGGGTACATTGCTACAAATAAAGAGTTTTCTGATGGTTTTTCCATTCAACTAATTCCGGGATTTCAAGGTTGACTCAAGCGATCTCCCCAGCGAGCGTGGCGCGGCGTTTCCAGAACAAAAAAACATGCCAAAGGATTTGTTTGTCAGATTGGGTACGAAACATGTGTAGTTTTGTCTATGTTTGTCATATCTATCTATCCATCTATTTATCTATCCATATATATATGTATCTATCCATTTGTTCTATGCATCTTCTATCTCACTATTCTATCCCACTATTCTATCCACCTAGTCTATCCACCTATTCTATACATCCATCTATCCATCCATTCTTTCTATCCTCAAGACATTTAGAACATGAAGAGTACAGTATATGACAAATATGTTTTCCTGACCAAGTAATCGTAAATCTGCAACCTGATTGGTTGTGCCATCCACTTTATAGTTCCAAACAGTCAACTCTCATTTTGCAAGGCTTGGTCTATCCTGAGATCACTACAAATGATCCAAACATTTGGAGTAAGGGCCACAGTGAGGTAGGGGAAACTAGAGACCATAGCGAAATCATATGAGCATATATCATATTATATACAGAGTTTCAAAGGCCCTGGTCCAGTTGCTTACAGTAGCCGAATATGAAGTTTTCCAATGTTTTCCGTATAGAAGCGGCCCTGATGGAATTTGTCCAACCAACTTTGGGCTGATCGAATCGAAGCCAGTGTTTTTTAATTTGTGCTGATTCTCTGAAGACTTCCATACTGTGGGATCTGCGGTTAGACCCAAGCCCCCAAACTCTGAACATCTTAGTCTTTGAAATGACAATGCTTCCAGTTCTGGATCACTCACTAGCAAGAATAAGCCACCGCTCCTCTTATCTTTCGTATCATTTATCTTTCTTATTTGTGAGTCATTGAAACATTTAGAAAAAATATCACTCAATATTGGGTTTCCAAAGAGGAGGGATGCTAATAAGAAGAATGTGTTCATAATGAACTAACATGAAAAGTTCGGCTATATTGGGAAATTTCCCCACATATAAACCATCACTCCAGTGAGGTCGCGGTGAGGTCGTTACAATTTACACCACTAACTCACATGACACATCATTAAATCCCATTAAATCCCCATTAAATCACCATTGAACCCATCTTTTCCATAGGAAAAAACAAGGCAAGGCTTGCCGCTTCATGTGGACCTGACCTCGACTTCTTCGGCTTCGAGCTTGAGACACTTTTCAACATGCTGTCCGCCAGCTCCTCCAGCGCCATCGCCAACGTGCGAATATCATAATATCTAAGCTGTACTATATATTCAATGGATTGGTGTAAGGGAAAAAATATAGGAAACACCCATAGTTCATAGGAACATCGATGGTTTCCTGTAGATTTTCCCTTAAGCCAATCCATTGATATATACATGTACACACATATATATACATATTATTATATACGTAATATCTTAAACGCTCAGTACAGGATGATAGTGTATGATAATAATAGTATGTATCTGTCAACCTGAACTCCGATTCACTGCCAATCACATAGCTGTCAGGGTCACCCATGATTGGGAATGTCTCAACAAAGCCATGCAACCTGTCCATGCAAGTGACTTTTGGAGCGCCATCCTCGTCCGCCGGGTCATCTTCTTCTTCCTCCTCTTCCACAGCTGCCCTGTGGGACCCACCAGTGATGGAACGCAAACAAGTGCAGCTACCTTGACATCACGTCTTTCACTTGAATATAAGATCTAGAATCATGAATGATCTAGGAAAGCAAGGCCCAAGTATCCCAAGGCCCAATCATTTTCATTACATGACAATGAACGACTCTTTCTTGTCCGCCTTGGAGTGGCTCGGCTTTGACATTTTGATCTCGTAAGCCTGCGCAAGAGCGTTTGCGACCGCGATACTACATGATGCAACTACATTGAACTACATCTAGAGACTACCATGTGTACCCATGTGTATCTTTCTCTTGCACTATATTGCACTATATTGCACTATATTGCACTTGCTTTTGTCAATCTCTGGATCATATCACCTCTTCCAAGAGCCTGTCACATGTTCCTCTGAGAATTTTCCCCGTGCATTTTGTTCGCACCTTGTAGGCAGTGACGTTGAGACCCCACTTCTCAACATGCTCTGTGCCAACTCCTGAATGCAAACGTTAGACAAATCCAAACCGAGGAAAAAACGCCACAGGAGAAACAAGAGATGAACACAGTATACATGTACATACAATTATATACATGTGATGAGGGTCACCATGATTGGGAATGTCTCAACAAAGCCATGCAACCTGTCCATGCAAGTGACTTTTGGAGCGCCATCCTCGTCCGCCGGGTCATCTTCTTCTTCCTCCTCTTCCACAGCTGCCCTGTGGGACCCACCAGTGATGGAACGCAAACACGTGCAGCTACCTTGACATCACGTCTTTCACTTGAATATAAGATCTAGAATCATGAATGATCTAGGAAAGCAAGGCCCAAGTATCCCAAGGCCCAATCATTTTCATTACATGACAATGAACGACTCTTTCTTGTCCGCCTTGGAGTGGCTCGGCTTTGACATTTTGATCTCGTAAGCCTGCGCAAGAGCGTTTGCGACCGCGATACTACATGATGCAACTACATTGAACTACATCTAGAGACTACCATGTGTACCCATGTGTATCTTTCTCTTGCACTATATTGCACTATATTGCACTATATTGCACTATATTGCACTATATTGCACTATATTGCACTATATTGCACTATATTGCACTATACTGCACTTGCTGTTGTCAATCTCTGGATCATATCACCTCTTCCAAGAGGCTCTGTCAATTCTGTCACATGTTCCTCTGAGAAATTTCCCCGTGCATTTTGTTCACGCCTTGTAGGCAGTGACGTTGAGACCCCACTTCTCAACATGCTCTGTGCCAACTCCTGAATGCAAACGTTAGACAAATCCAAACCGAGGAAAAAACGCCACAGGAGAAACAAGGGATGAACACAGTATACATGTACATACAATTATACACATGTGATGAGGGTCACCATGATTGGGAATGTCTCAACAAAGCCATGCAACGTGTCCATGCAAGTGACTTTTGGAGCGCCATCCTGGTCCGCCGGGTCATCTTCTTCTTCCTCCTCTTCCACAGCTGCCCTGTGGGACCCACCAGTGATGGAACGCAAACACGTGCAGCTACCTTGACATCACGTCTTTCACTTGAATATAAGATCTAGAATCATGAATGATCTAGGAAAGCAAGGCCCAAGTATCCCAAGGCCCAATCATTTTCATTAAATGACAATGAACGACTCTTTCTTGTCCGCCTTGGAGTGGCTCGGCTTTGACATTTTGATCTCGTAAGCCTGCGCAAGAGCGTTTGCGACCGCGATACTACATGATGCAACTACATTGAACTACGTCTAGAGACTACCATGTGTACCCATGTGTATCTTTCTCTTGCGCTATATTGCACTATATTGCACTATACTGCACTTGCTGTTGTCAATCTCTGGATCATATCACCTCTTCCAAGAGGCTCTGTCAATTCTGTCACATGTTCCTCTGAGAAATTTCCCCGTGCATTTTGTTCACGCCTTGTAGGCAGTGACGTTGAGACCCCACTTCTCAACATGCTCTCTGCCAACTCCTGAATGCAAACGTTAGACAAATCCAAACCGAGGAAAAAACGCCACAGGAGAAACAAGGGATGAACACAGTATACATGTACATACAATTATATACATGTGATGAGGGTCACCATGATTGGGAATGTCTCAACAAAGCCATGCAACGTGTCCATGCAAGTGACTTTTGGAGCGCCATCCTCGTCCGCCGGGTCATCTTCTTCTTCCTCCTCTTCCACAGCTGCCCTGTGGGACCCACCAGTGATGGAACGCAAACACGTGCAGCTACCTTGACATCACGTCTTTCACTTTCAATGCTTACAGCTCAACAATAGCTTCTTCATGCTTCTTCCCCATCCTAATAGCAACCCAATTTCCCTATTGGAATCGACTATAACGGCTGAAAGCTCACTCATCACAGCATATGTTCACCGTCCCAGTCACGATTTACGGACTGCATCGTGCTGCTATTGTCCTCCAGGTGCCTAGCCTGGTGGGCAAAGATCGTGGCACCTCACTTCTCAACATGCTTTCCGCCAGCTCCTGGATGAACCACATGACGCTAAACCGACATGTTAGCTGTCAACATGTGTCAACATGTTTTGGGAAAAGAATGACACTGAAAATAACCTAAAGCATTATGCACTCCTCGGCTGCCGAGTCATCCTTTTCTTCCTCCTCCACAGCTGCCCTGCGATGGGGAAGATAGCAGTGAGAAGTGAGACTCAAGATTGGTTCCACAACTCAACTAGAGACTGGTCACTCTCATTGTTTCTCAAATGCTACCGATTCCACATGCTTCAGTTCAAGTGATTTACG